ATTCCTAACCGCAGGACGGTGGCTCAGTGGATGCTGGACAGTCACATAATGACATGGGGCTGACCACAAGAGCACCAGGGGAGTAAATGTCACAGCAGAGGTGTGTGTTCAGAGCAGTGGGACCCAGAGGGGATGTGGATGACTGCTTCAGGTGGAGCCTTGAAGGATGAGCAGAGTTTCACTGGGTGGACATGGCGGGACCTGCTGAGCCAGGGAAGGCACTCGGGCACAGAGGGAACAGCACACACAAACACTCAGTGTCAGGAACAGAGCATAGAGCACCGGGAGGACAATCCTCCCAGTGTGGCCGTATTGCTAGGTCTGTCGGGGAGAGGTGGACACCAAGCCGCCACCATGCCCAAGAGCTGGCTTTACCCCAGGCCCAACACCCAGAGAAGCCACCTACGTGCAGTCTTTCTGTCTTCAGCTGTGGCTAGGACCAATAGTCAGATCTGGAAGAGCCTGCTGAGGCCGAGGCAGGGAGGAAAGTCAGTTGCAACAGCAAAATCCCACAGGTCAGCCCCATAGCTGAAGAAACCGAGACACAGACGGGCGGCTAGGGAGAGGCAGGAAGGCTGGACAACCATCTGTCCCCTCCAGGGTGTCCAAGGTAGGCCAGCGTGGTGCCTCACATGTGGAGAAGGAAGCCTCGGGGGCTGCAATCTCACTAGTGAGCTGCAGTTGAGTGTATACACATGCGTATGTGTTCCCTTGTGTGAGCTATGGGCTCTCTGCATGCAGGATGCGCGTGCAAATGCACAGGGGTGTATACACAGGTTCATACACATGCTCCTGGGCAGGCAGAAGCAGAAAGGATGGGGAAGTGCGTATGGGGAGAGTTTGAGCTTTGGGTTGGCAGAGTTGGAAGGAAGGAGGGCTGAGGTGCAAGCAGGACCATTTGGACCTGGATGCTCCTCGGGTTCTCCCTGCTGGGCACTGGTTCAAACGTTGTCGGGATGTCAAGAAGGGAGGGCAGGCCGTGCCTGTGGCAGTCGTGGGGTGGGTAATACCAAGAGGATGACCGCAGAGACCTGGCCTTCAGGTATGGGATGGGGTGTGGGGAGAGGTGCAGGGAGAGCAGGAAGCTTCTAAGGGATGTTGAGTTCTTGGAGCCAGACAACTCCAAGCCTGGAAGCTTTAGTTTTGATGTTAGCAAGGTCCCAAGCATTCATTTGGGGTAGCAGGAATTGGGGCAGCCTCCCCCACCCCAAAGCCCACGCTTAAAGAATTGAAGGGGTTGATGGAGCCTGCTCAGGTTGGAGATGAATCACTTACCTTGCCCATAATTCCTCCTGGCATCCTGGCTAGACCCTAAGACCCCACCAGAGACTTCAAGACTTTGAAGCTACTGCCTGAAAACTTAGAAAACCTGATCAGGTGGGGAGTCTCAGGGCCCAGCCCAGATCACCAAGACCAGAGCCTGGGGGGCAATTCAGCCTGGGTCTCCCCTGGGGGACACACAGGGCAGGGCTGTGCAGAGGGGCCGGTGGTGAGGATTCCTGTTGTACTAAGAGATAGTTGGGACGGTGGTGGGGAGGGTGTAGTTATTTAAACATTTACTTCTTTACTTTCTTCCACAGACTCAGAAGCACACCGAATTTGCCCAGTCAGAGGCTGTTTGCACGTAATACCACCAACACAACAGAATGATCATTTGTTGAGGGTCTATGCTATTTCTAACCTCACATTAACTTTGCAAGGTAGGTATTGCTAAACCCCGTGTTACACATGGGGAAATTGAAGATTAGAGATGGTGACTAACTCCTGCGAGCTCACCTGCAAGCGAGGCTCACCAGGATTGGAAAGCAGTCTGCCTGGCTTCAAGAGCCTGGGTGGTTCCTGTTCCAGTAGCCGGGCTGTAAGTGCAGCCTCCTGGGAACTTGGGAACCTGTCTGTGCTTCCCCTTGTCTTTTCGTTTAGTAAATAAATTAACTAATTAATTTAAAAAGTGCCTAACTCAGGGGCACCCGGGTGGCTCAGTCGTTGAGCGTCTGCCTTCGGCTCAGGTTGTGATCCCAGGGTCCTGGGATCGGCCCCCCACATCCATCGGGCTCCCTGCTCAGCGGGAGGTCTGCTTCTCCCTCTCCCACTCCCCCTGCTTGTGTTCCCTCTCTCGCTGTGTCTCTGTCAAATAAATAAATAAAATCTTTATAAAAAAAAGTGCCTAACTCAATTGCAAGAGTGAATGTGCGCAAGGACCTTAGAGCTGGGCTTGGCCTGCCTTAAACTTCAGTGGCTCTAAGCTTCAATGACTTTATGCTGCCTTGGGGGACCAGGGCCGGAAGCCAGTGGGAAGTCTCTGGGCCCCGGAGGCCTTACCTGGTAAGGATCCAGAGTGGGAGGGTACCTGTGTCTGGCTCACAGCTGGGACTCAACTCCTGTGATTGGCCCTGGAGGGGTCTCAGACAACAGGCTCTAGAGGGGAAGAGGCAGCTTCTTGATCACCTTGCTCTCCCAATTCATCATAATCCTGCCCTCAGGACGCCAAAATCTGCGCTGGTGGTCACCCCCGCCCCAAAGACTTTCCTGCAAGTTTCAGGGAACTCGGCACCTCCCATGAGATCGGAGACCCCCCTTTTCCTCTCCCACGTGTCCCCAGGCCAGTCCCCAGCCCTTGACTCCGACGGTAGACCTGTAGCTGCCGAGATATGAACTCTAAAATCCGGGAGGAAGTGGGGGACACTGAAGAAAAGAGTACCCTAGCCCCCTCTGGCCCAGTGCCCCCCACCATTCACCTTGCCGGGCTGCCCCCACGAGGAACACCGATTCTTCCGACAAGGGGCAGCCCCAAACTTTCCCCGAAGCACTTACCAACTGGTCAACTGAGGCCTGGCGGACGCCCGTCTCCCCCCCTCCCCCCCCCACCCCCTCCACCCCCCCCCCCCCCCCGCCACTAGCTGGTTGCCCGCCCGAGCCCAGGGTCCAGCTGTCAGGGCCCTGGCATCCAGCCCCCGCCCCGGGGCAGGGCCGAGCGGCGGAGGAGCGCCAGCCGCGCCCCCTCCTGGCTGGGCTCCTGGCTGGGCCTCTGGAGCCTGCCTCTCCCCCTCTGATGTAAACTGATATTTTAATTCTCTTACAAGGAATGGTGTTTAGAGAAATGACTTAACCGGATTACTCATCGTCTATAATGATTTGGCCTGGCTCCGAGGCTATTCCTAGACATGACGCTTGAGGCTTTGATTCTTTCTCTCTTTTCTTTTGCTACCTTTTTTTTTTAATACCAAGAAATTACAGCCTTGTGCCCGCGGCGGCCCCGCCCCTACATGCCCCTCGCACGGCATCCTGGGAGACGTAGTTCTATCCTATCGCCGGCCTGCCGCGCCGCACCCCTGGCTGCCCGCATCTCCGCCAGGTGCCGGCGAGCGGCGGGGTCCAGCTTGGGAATCTGCCTGTGATAAGGGACCCTACAGCAGAAACCCCTGTTGTGCGGTGATTGGGAAAGTCACTTAACCCGTACATGCCTTGGTTTACTCCTCTGTCAAATGGGAGACAGTCATACACCATAGGGTTGAAGGGACAAGTGGGATCTTACTTTAAGTAAAGAGGCTCCACACACCCCACGTTTTAAGAAGTCTTTGTCCTGTGCCTATGTACTGACCTCCAGTCTACTTACCACTTTGTATTACAGAGTGACGCAGAGAACCAGGCTTTAGTTATTCCTGTCCCTGGGGCTTAATAGGGTCCTCGCACGCAGTCAGCTTTTCCTTACCCCTTACTGTTTGCAGATGAGACTCCGAAATTGTCCAGCACTAACTCTGCTCCTCGACGCCCTCGGCTGTAATATGGGGATAAATATAGTGTCCACATCACAGGGCAAATGAAATCATGGAGGTAAGATGCTTGGCGTAACGTCTCGTAAACACTGGTCCAAAGCATTGCACCCTCCTAGCTCCAGGCTGGGGCTCAGAAGCCGTGAAGAAGGGATGGCTAATTCCCTGCAGCCTATGAGATTGACAAGGCTACATCTTCTGATCCAAAAGATGAGGACTTTGTTCTGGTTGTGGTTGTGTCGTCAGTGTCTAGCCCAGTGCTGGTATACAGTCGGACCCAGTGTTGGATGAATGAGTAAATCAAAGATTACCCCTGCTTTCCAGAGGAGGGAGCCGAGGCTCCAACAGGTCAGGTGACTTGCCCAAGGCTACATAGCTGGGCTGTCTGTGTAGGGATGCAAACCCCCATTTTTTCTCTTTGTTGTCCCCCTCCTTCCCAACACAGGGGAATTGGCTTTCACCCTTCAGGCCCAGGAAGGGCAGAATCTCAGGTTTCCACCCTGTTAGGCCCTTGTGGGGTGGAGGAGCTCCCGGCCCAGGCCTGGCCCAACACAGGAAGTTTCTCCCCATTCAGCTGAAGGGCAGGGTTAAGAGGTGGGGGCATGGTGGGGGGTCAGAGGAAACGAGTCTGTAGACATGGCTCCCGATGTAGGCAGAGCTGGGGAAGCTAGTTTTCACGTGCCCTGGGGGAAAGTGGCCAACTCTCTTCCGGCTGGAAGTTGGGCCCTTGGCGACCTCAATCTTGGCTGGATCCCTGTGCCAGCACCACACCTCCTCACTCCTTCACCCCTAGCAGGTCCCCAAAGGCTGAAAGCTATTCTTGGCTTTTTCTAAAAGAGGCATTTGAAGGCATGAGCCAATTTTTTCCATTCCTGAGCTTGGGTATCATCTATTTCGGGCGTTTGTTGTTTTCCATGAGTTGCAATGCCACTGTGAAGCTGGCCTTTCCTGGACAGCTAGCACGAGGGAGCGAGGCAGGAGCAAGGCGGGGCCAGGGCCAGCAGTTAAAAATACTTCCCGCTTCATTTCTCCTTTGAAAACAAAGCCCTGGGGGCCTTTTGCAACTGCTGAGCCTGGGAACAGAGCTTCCCAGGGCAAAAACTGGCTGTGCGTTGTTTCCTGAGTGAGCTGGATGGGTTCATGTGGGTCCCAGAAGAAGCAACATTGACGTGCTGTGTGACCTTGTGCAACACACTTAACATCTCTGGGCCTAGTGGCCTCCTCGCTAAAATGAGGCCAGGTGGACAGATCTTGAATGGGCCCTCCAGCTCTGAGCTCCAGGATGAGAAGCACCTCCAGGGCCAGGTTTTCTTCCTAGAACTGGGCCAGCAAGGGGTGCTGTGAGTTAGGGGTTAGGAGAAGGCAGCTTTTAGCTTTAGCTCAGTCTCTGGGAACACTTTGTGAGCTTTGGGCCCTGAAAGTGTCCTAAGGTGGTCCTGAATGTTCTCAGAGGGTTCATGTAATTGAAAAAAAAAGATTAAATGCCATCAAAGAGGGACTTAAATAAAGACACCATGGTAGATCCACACCAAGGCATGCAGCACAGGAGTTTTGAGACAGGCAGATCTGTGTTCTGACATGGAGAGATCTCCAAAATCTATTGTTGGAAAAAAGGCAAGACTGGAATAATTAGAATTGTATCATTTGTTTAAAAACACACATAAAACAAAGCTAAATATTTTTCTACACCATGGATGCATATATTTATGAAAATACATAGGGAAGGTTCTGGAAGATTTTACCCAATCTGATAATAGTCCTTATCTCTGGGGCAAGGAGAGAAATGATTTTAGAGTGGTGTCAGAGAGGAGTGATTTGTTTGTAATGTTTTACAGGAAGAATGCATTTATTAGTGGGGTTTATTTGTTTGCTTGTTTGTTTTTACTGACACACGGAGAGACACCAAGACATTGATGGGCTAGGTGACTCCTCTCAGGCTGTCCTGGGCTGGGATCCTCTGGGCAGAGGGTGCAGCGGGAGGGGGACTGTGGGCGGGAGCTGGAGGTGTGTGACATAGAGGCTGGAGCAATGGAAGTGTTTATACTTTTAGGGAGGCAAATGGAGATGTTGTTCCTCTGCAAGATTTATTGGCCATTGTAAATTACATTCTATTGCAAACAGTTGCCTCAGGAGGCAATTAAATTTAGATCATATTGTTCTCAGGTTGGCAGAGGCAGGCGTTGACTTGCTGAGGCTTTGCACAACAGCCACTGTCTGTAAGAGTGTGGTCGGCTGCCTGGATGGCAGAATAACCCTATTCCTTGGTGGGATGAGCTGCTGCTTTGTAAAGTAGTGAGTTCCTTGTCAGAGGGGGTATCCAATCCGGGAGGGAGGATCTGCCTAGACTATGACCCTGAGGGGGAGCATGTAGGTCTCTATCCCGAACCTTAGGCAATCAATCCTTATAGAATGGGCGAAAGTGGGACTAGAAAGGCCATTCAGCTTCCTGATGGCATTCTATTGTAGTGTCTGCCATCCCACCACAGCCTCAGCTGTCCTGGAGAGTTTGTAAACGGGGACGTGGGGTACAGTATTACAATCACCATGACAACAGTTGTTCCCGGCAGTCACTAAATATTGTCAAGGATGTGTTTGTTACTAAATCTACAGGCACTGGCTCTTACAGACCACCCCATTATGAGGGAGATAAGGGAGCTCAACTGAGCCTGTAGAGAGCTTCCCTTCCAGGGTCACCAACCTGCAGCCCTCGTCCATTTGTTTGGGGTGACAGGTGGACAGTAATGGGTACGAAAAAGTTTGGTGGGTGCCCGGGTTATGAGGGCTCCTCAGCCATCTGAATTTAGCTCAGGCTCTGCCAGTTACCACTTGTATCACTTGAGCCAATTAACCTCCTAGAGCTCCAGTTTGACCCTATAAAATGGGGACAATGATGACGGGAAATACCTAGAGTTGTTATAATAGAACTAATCAACAAAAAATATTGTGAGGGCCTACTATGCGTTAGGAACAGGGTTCAAGTCCTAGCTAGTCAAATGTTGAGATCTTAGCCTCTTTTTTTTCAAATTGTGGTAAAATATACGTAACATAAAATTTACCATTGTAATCATTTTTAAGTGAACATTTCAGTGGCATTAAGTACATTCAGGCCACCATCCATTGCTACTTTTTCATCTTGCAAAACTGAAACTCTGTACTTATTAAACAACTCCCCATTCCTCCCTCCCCCCAGCCCTGGGCAACCATCATTCTACTATTTGTCTCTATGAATTGGACTCTAAGTACCTCATATAAGTGGAATATAACAGCATTTGTCCTTTTGTGTCTGGCTTATTTCACTGAGCATAGTGTCTTCGAGGTTCATCCATGTAGCACATGTCAGAATTTCCTTCCTTTTCGAGGCTGAGTGATGCTCCCATTATATGGACATACCACAGTTTCTCCATTCATCTGTCCATGTCCATGGTTGTTCCCACCTTTTGGATGTTGTGAATGATGCTGTGAGACCTTGGGCTCTCAAAGGCGAGCCTCAGTTTCCTCTTCTGTGCTGCGCACCTGGCTAACTAACTCCTCCCTTCGGTGGAAGCTGACGCAGCCAGCTCAGCAGCTCCTCTGGTGCCCATCCCACCCTAACCTCACCCTCAGCTCCCCAAGCAGGGGTCATACCCCCTCGTTGGAATGCTTTGTAGCTGCCAGTCTCTGTCCTTGCGACATTTATGGACATTGGCCACAGTGGGCAGGCTTCCTGCCCCAAGGGTTTTTGGGACCCCACAGAACTTTGACCAAAGAACTTACCTGCTAGTTTGGGCTGGGGGCCTTGTTTAGCTAACACCAACCACCTCTACTTCTGTGTTGGTCTGGGTGGGAGTTGGAAAATACCCATGACCCAGTTCAAGACAAAGTCAGAAGCACTTTGCTCACCCCACTCTGCCCCAGGGCCCTACTGACGAGCAAGGAGGAATTTTCCAAGACTAGTTTTGGAACTAGTCTTGAGGCACAGGCAGCAGTGATTCCTGGGTGTACTGCCTCAGCCCCTCTAGGCGAAGAGCCTACTTCAGGTACCTGGGTCTCAGAGCCCGGGGAGACGGAAAGCGCACTACAACTCCCAGAGGCCCCCGGGCTCAGGGGGCGGCCTCCGGTCTCAGGGGGCGGCCTTCGCCCCCGCGCGGAAGAATTGGGCCCACCAACCGGAGCCCAGAGCGGGGCGGGGGCGGTGCCCGGGCGGGGCGGGGCGGGGCGGGACGGCGGGGAGGCGGCAGGCTTGCGGCGCCGCGGGCCAGTTGCGCGGAGAGCGCGGGGTCGGTGAGCCGTACGTGCGGAGGGCCTCGGGCGGGCGCCGAGGGACCTCGCCGGGCCATGGGTAAGCGGCTCCGTGGCCTGTCCCGGGATGGGGCTGGGGGCCCCGCAGAGGGGGCGAGGTTGCCCTGCCAGATCCCCTCCGGGCCCTCGTGGCCGTCGGGGCCGCTAGGAGGGGCGGAGCGGGGCCGGGGGTGGACTCCAGGGCGAAGGCGCCGGCGACCTAGCCCGGCCTTGGGCGCCAGCGCCCTTCGCCCTGCGCGGGAGGGGTGAGGCTGGGTGTCGGCGCACACTCTTCGAAAAAAAGGAGAGACAAAAAGTTTTGGCGGCCAGGGGCTTCCCGGACGTTTATCTCGAAACTCTTTTCGTCGTCTTTTGGCTGAAATTTACCAAGTCCTGTACGGTTCTGTCATCCCACTTCCTGCTGTGGTTTCAATCTCGAGCTGGTCTCAGCTAATTTGTTGTGACAGGCTGTCCGCAGCAGTTTCTCTGCCTCCCCGCCCCCATTTGCCCCCCCGCCCCGCGCAGTCACATCCCCGTGGTTCTCAGAACTCGCCGGCGCCGCCGAGAAGAGGCACCGGGGTCCCTGGGCGCGCGCGGGGCGCTTTCCACTGCGGCCGCCGTTTCCTGAAAGTGACTCTGCGCGGGTTTTGAAGAACTTGCTCAACGCACTTTGAAGAATCAACTGTTCCTCTTTCAGCAGAGGGGTGTTCTGATCCTTCGGCGGTTACCGGCTTCCCGCCCCCTACCCTTTCTCTTTCTCTTTTCTCTTCCCTTTTCTCTTTTCTTCTCCGTTCTCTCTTATTCTTGTCTCCTGTCCATCCTCTTCTGCCCCTGGCAGGAAAGAAGTAGATTCCCTCTTTGCTGTCGTCTTCTTTCTTCTCTTTCCTCGGGTCTCCAGAAGGGACAGGGTGGCGGCCCCGGGAGTGATGGGGGTTGAGAGTTGAAGCTCAGGTTGCGAGTGTGCGAGGAGAGATGTTTGGCTTCGCGCTCGGCCGGCCGGAGCTGCGGAGTGGCCGCATCTCGGTCCCTCCCCAGAGTGTCCCGGGGTGGGGGTCGGGGGGCGCCCTCAGGCGGGATTCAGGTCCCCCAGCCCCGCCGACGTGGGTGGGAGGGTGGCGGGGCTTTCCAAGCGCCGGACCGCGAGGGCTCAGGGTGCGGGTCCGGGGGCAGGCACTGCGCTGGCCGGGCCCAGCGGCCCTTTGTTTGCGGGGTGGTTTGCCGGCCGGGAGGAGTCTGCGCGGCCAAGGGGAGGCCAACAGGTGCTTCCCGCGCCCGCCGGAGGACCACTGTTGGGGGTGTCAGCGTCTCTGCGCCTATATGCCCGCGGCGGCAAAGGAGAGGTGGGAGATGGTGGCTACAGAGTCTGGCCCCAGAGAGTGGAGTTCCAGACCGCCAGAACCTTGGGCACCCGCCTGGGGCTAGAACTCGGAGTGGCAGAGGTAGGAAGAACCTCAGAGGATCAGGCCCTCTTTCTTTGATATCCAGTCAGAGAAACTGAGGCTCAGAGTGAGGTCTGGCAGTGAGAGAGGCAGGCCTCCAACACCTCTCCCCTCCCTCTTGCTTTCCTGTTACCTGGTGGTAAACTGGCCAGGTACTGCCCACACTCCCTGGTAGGCCCCAGGGGTCTCTGGGTGTGGGGGTGGGCGGAGGAAAAGCAGTAGGCCCTGGAGTGCCCCGACAGGAGTTAGGCAGCACCCTCCCTCCCTGGCTGTGTCTCTGCTCTTGGGCCATGTCTTGGACAAGCTACGGTGGATTGGGAACACGGAATATAGTTCATGGGGACATAGGAAACCATCCATAGGTGGAACTGTTACTGTTACTAATACCTCCCAGACTTGGAGAGACAGGACAGTGGGGAGTCAGCCCAGTCCGGAATAGGGTCTTTTAGGACGTACCAGAGCTGGCAAAAGGGGGACAGGCATCCCAGTGGAATTAGGAGATGGTGGTCTTACATCTGGAGACCCCATATCCCCTCCCTCTCTCTGTTCCTCTCAAGAGTGTCATTTTGGCCCCCGCTGCCTCAAACCCTGTGTCCCCCTTGCCCTGGCTGGGACACTGAGGCAGGGCTGGGGCAGAAGCTGGACCCTGTGCCTTCGGGGGTCCCATGTCCCGCTCGGCTGTCCTCAGTGCTGGCTGGAGCACAGCCGCTTGCAGCTCCTCCCTCCCCAAACTGCCCACTGGAGAGAGCCCCACGCCGAGCCTCCTCCGCCAGGCAGCTGGCTCCTGGGCCACAGAGAGGACGGGCCGCCTCAAAGGCTGTCTTTGTTTCAGCTCCGGCTCAAACTAAGAGAAACTTAAGCCAACAACCTCGGGCGAGGTGGGGCCGTTTCTGCTTGTTGTTATTGGGACTGCCATTACCATTATTGTCGTAATTGACGCAGTGCTCCCAGTGGGTGACTTTTCATGAAAGGAAGTGTTGCTTCCTTCCCATCACACCAAGGGTGAATGGGGCGGGTCGGCCGAGAGAGGAGGGGGGAGGGAGGGAGCAGGAAAGGGAGGGAGGGAGGGAGAGAGAGCGAGGAGGGTGCAGTCTGGCACTAGGTCTCTGACAGGCTCTGTGGCCTTGAACTAGTCACAGCCCAAGCCCGTCTCTGTCTCTGTACCGGGAGCATCTGAGAGCAAGTAGCTCATACTGCACCCCTGTGGCTGTTTATGGAGCACCTGTTCCCTGCCCCCACAGTGCTCTGGACAGTGAGACACAGAGGGGAGTGAGCAGGACAGGCAGACCTCAGATCTCCCCGTGGGGGGTGTGTGCACACGCACACACTTGGCTGTGGTTTGTGTGGGAAGCCTTGTTTCTCACTTTGTTCTTAGAACATCAGGCGCATGGGGGTCCAGCGCACCCACCTATGGATGGGGAAACAAGCAGTACCGAAGCAGCGGCTGACTTGGTGAAAGATGCACCTCTTTGGAGATAGAGCCCCTTCCCGGCTCTCCTGCCCCGCTCCTATCTGATTTCAGCTTCTCAGCAGAGGCAGACCCACTGGGGCAAGAAGGAAGCCCACACCCTTTGAGCAGATAAGGAGCTTGGGGACTCCCTGCTTCCATTAAAAACCCTAGATCTCAGGGTTCAGAGCCTTGGGACAGTCAGATTGCACTAGTTCTGAATCCCAGCTTTGCCACTAGGAAGCTGCCTGACCCCAGGTGAGTTATTGAACCTCTGGGATCCTTATATGTTGTATCTGTAGAAAGGGGGAGATAGTATCCATTGGGTGGCTAGATTCTGTGAAGCAGTGTCCAAAAATGCCTAGTCCAAGGCTCACCAGGAGCACTGATTGGAGGTGGTGGAGTGTATAGTAGAGAGAGGGAAGTAGGGAATGGCTTGAGAACAAGCAGCCTTCGGGGAGTAGCCTCTTTTGGAGTTAGTGACTTAAACCAACCTCTTCACTGCTGTGGTTTTCGGACCTGGGTGTTAAGCTTGACTTCAACACAAGCCATGGAGTTAAACAGAAATCAGGTTCCCAACGCCAGAAGGGCCTTGGGCAGTCTCCCTGCCCAGCACTCTGCTGCCCCTCCTCACTGCCCGGTGAGGCACTGGGTCACCAGGGGCCAGGGGCTCATATCCTGGCCCAACCAGCAGCCCCCTGCCCTCTCCCTAACAGTGGCAGGAGGAAACCTCAGGGGCTGTGGACCAAGTCCTACTGTAGGTTACCAAAGCTTTCTCACACTATTATCTAGCTGCACAAAACCTGAGGAATAAGTTCAACAGGAAACACACAGGGCCTTTAAGAAGGAACGTCTGAGGACAGCAAGGGGAGATCTGAATCTGTGGAGACGTGCAGTCCTGAAAAAGGAAGATGCCATATCAGAAAGGTGTTAATTTTTCTTCAAAGTAATTGCTAAATTTAAATGCAATTCAACCAAAACCCCAGTGGTTTGTTTTCTTTTTTTAAGGGAATGTGATAAAATTATCCTGAAGTTCAGAAAAAAATGATTTAAAAAGACTAATGATGGGGGACTTGTCCTCTGGATAGTAAGCTGTTTTACAATTAAAACAGTGTGCCCCGGTGCCAGCCTTCCACGGTGAATGAAACAGAACAGAAAAGTCCAGAAACAGTTTCAAATATGTTCCTTATCAACCTTTAGATTATGGGGAGAGTAGCATTTCAAATCATTGGGGGAAGGGAATCACTCAGTCTATATTGGGACCACCTCACCATTGGGGGGAAATATGATTAGATCCCTATCTCACACCTTATAGATTCCAGATGTGTTCAAAGTAAACAATGAAATAATCATCACCATTATTGTCATTATTGCTTCTTGGATGGAAAAAGCAAAATGGATCCACCTCCCCATTACAGTAGGGCATGGGAGGCTTTGTGGGCAAGAGCAGGACAGGAACTCGGTGGCTCCTGGCAGCAGCATTCACTCCGGAGCAAGTGGGACTCTCCTGCCTCTTGCAGGCTGGATGTGGCTGGGAGCCTGGGATTGCTGGTCCCTAAGCCGCTTCCCTCCCCTGTAGAGCCAGGAGAGCAGCCCAGCCCTGTGTCGGCTGCATTGGAAGGTGGGAGAGCTGGGAGCCTGGCAGGCAGGGGGACCCTTCTGTTGCTTGTGGCAGGCGTCTCAGACTTAGTTTTCCTAGCAGAACCCTTTTCCAAATGAAGATTATCTGGAACCCTGGTCTACAAATGACTGGGGAAGGGAGGGTTTAGGGGAGCCAGGGACAGGACAGAGGGCTTCCTGGAGAAAGAGGGGGCTCTCCCTCAGCTAAGGCTGTGGAAGCGGGGGGCCCAGGAGGCCCTGCCAGGGCAGAGAGCATGCTAGCTAGCCTGGTTGGGAGAGGAGGGAGGCTGAGTTCATTTGGGGACTCAGCTGGACACAGAGATAAAGAGACGTTTCCCTTTGTGGCTCTAGGCAAGAGCCCGAATCTTTTTCCTGTCTGGGGTTAAACAGCTCAGATTGGTGACCTCCTTTCCAGGTAATCTGAGTACCTGACTCCAGGAGGTTTCCCTCAGTGTGGCCCAGGCAGAGCTCACCGACTCTGGAACCAGGCAGAAGGGATAGAGGCCCTCAGGCCCAGTGGCTCTCAAACTGGCTGCCCTTTGAGATCCACTGGGGAGCTTTAAACTCTGATGCCCCTTGCAGAACCTTAAATCAAACTGGGGTGGGGGGTGGGGGACACAGTCATCGGTGTCCTTAAAATGCTCCCTGGTGATTCTAATGGGCCCTGGTCCTACCACCTTATTCTTTGGAGGCCAAGGGTGCACCTTGCCAGGGGCATGTAGCAAGTTTGCAGGCAGGCTCCAGTGAGAAGCTGCTGTAACACCCCATGGAGGACTCAGGATGGAGCCAGTCCTTTGAAGCTGGGCCAGGGGGAAAGAAGGCAGAGAGGGTGTGAAAACGGGGAGGGGGCGGGGGGGCAAGGAAAAGAGCTGGGGTAAGCAGGTGCGCCAGCAACCCGGGAGACTTCACCAATTCGGGGGCAGTGAGCAAAGGACTCAAGGGTCTTTCTCTCCCATTTCGCAGAAGGGAAGACTGAGGCACAGAGTCACACGAGAACTCAGGAAGAAAGGCATCAGCCTGCTGGGTGGGGTGGGCGGGTTCAGTTGTTAACACTTAGTTATTTCTGGATATTGACCGTGTCTTGATTGGTCAGAAGCCAGCCTGAGAGGAAGGCCCGAATGTCTTTCTTTTTGACAAGCTTTCGCATGGGTTTCTCCTCCAGGCTTATTTGGACTCTCCATCAAGGCTCCGCAAATCCTGGTGGTAACAATAGCAGCCACAGTGGTGGCCAGGCCCGGCCACTTGGCCTGGTGGTCAGACAGACCTCGTTTTGAGCCTGGGTCTCCTAGGAAGCCTCTCTGGCTTCAGTTTCCGCCTCTTTAACATGAGCTCCCTCCTGGGACTAAATAAGAGCATACGTGGAAGAGCCAGGGCCCCACCCGGCAGGATCCAGGTGTCACAAGCTCTTGGGTGAGCAGCTACTGAAGGGGACGCCAGCCAGTGGCCAGAGGCTCTGGCCTCGGGGGTCACGCTGGTCTGGTTTATGGCTGTTACAGAGATGTTTTTTCTCTCTAGGACAGGAGGGGACTCTCACAGGTGCCAGCAGGAAGGATTTCCTGAGCTGGAGCAAACCAGGAGAATGGGACCATTCACACTAGGCTAACAAAAAGGAAAGGCAGGTTAGAAGGAAAGGAAGGGTGATCTGACGACATGGGCTCCAGAGCTCAGGTGCCCTGCCCGCCTGTCAGCGCGCCTGTTCCCGATTCCGGGGGTTTTTGCAGGTTTCTGCAGCCATCAGCTCATGGCTGCCCTTAGTAAAATCCAGCCCTGCCCCGTGCAGGTTGTTGGGAGACTCGGTCCCTCTCCCTGAAACCTGGCACCCACTGTGCGGGGTGCTGGGAGGCCTCACTGAACCGGTGTGGTGGGCAGGAGTGCTGTGCTCGGCTGGGGGCTGAGAAGGGCCGCCCAGAGGAAGTGGCTTGTCAGGTGAGACCTGAAGGGTTACCAGACCCTTGCAGGTGGGAGGAGTAAGTGGCCTCATTAGGGGCAGTTAGAGCTCTGCAGGCACCCCTGGAAAGGTCTGATGTTTCATAACCAGGAGCTTCCAGTCTTCTCAATGATTCCTGGAGGATCCAAGCACCCGCCCTGGTGCCTCCGGACTCACAAACACGGGAACCTCAGCCGCTTTCCCAGTTCGGCTGAGGTGCTGTGAAAACGTTCTGCCTGAGTGTGGGGCAGGTTTCGGAGACAGGATTTCCCTGAGCACCACAGCCCCACCCTTCACCCTCCTCTGACTTGACCCCAGGGTGGTTTAGGGTTTCCCTCCCTCCCTCAACGTGGGGAGCTGGCTGGAACAGAGGAAGGAACAGCAGCAAGCATGGGGCCCGGTTGGGGGTGAGCCCCGCAGAGAGGAGGGAGGGCAGAGTGGGCCACTAGCGGGAGCCCGTAGGTGCGTGTGGAGGGCCAGCCTGTGTGCAGTCAGGGACCAGGGGGCAGAAGGAAGAAGTCGCTTCCCACCTGGCAGGTTCTGATGGGGGACGGGAGGACCCATCACCTCTCCTGGAGGACCTCTCCTCACTGCCTGTTCTTCAGGCCTGCATCTCAAATGCTCTCTCTCTCTCTCCCTCCTCTATCCCCCTCCCCTTTGCTCCTCTCCTTGCAGCACCTCCTGTCAAAGCGAAAAGGAAACAGTCAGAGGAGGGTGATCCCCTAGACCCATCTGTGTCCCCCCAACCTGATGCTGAGCAGAGCAGAAGCCAGAGCCCTGTCCATCTGGAGGTGAGTTGGGCGACCCCTGGGGAGCCTCCTCCCTGCCCTCCCCCCTCCCCTGTGCACAGCCTCCCAGGTGAACTTGGGGACTCCCCAAGCTCTCAGGAGGGCGTGTTCCCTGCCCTCCAGCCTGCAGAGCCAGGAGAGGGGCCCAGCCCTGTGGTTTCGGGCCTGCATGAGGAGGTGTGGGAGCTGGGAGCCCGGGACAGGAGGACCAGCCCGTTACCCCTGGCAGGGGTTTCAGACTTAGTTTTCCTAGCAGAACCCTTTTAGCAAACGATTTGCCTGGAACCCTGATGAATAAAACAGATAAAAGCACTCTTTTAGGATAAACCACACGTACATCCATGCATCCCTCCAAGTTCACAGCGTGGATATCAAAGTCACTCAGCGAGACCACTGAGGCCATTTTGGTGAGTGTAGTCTGAGAGGGAGCCATGGGTGACGTTGTGGAGTGTTGGCCTCAACATCCAATCCTTTTGGCCATTTGCTTTGGTGGCACAGTCTGGAGTAAGAATCCTGATCCATGTAGAAGAGTAGTTGCAGATGGTAACAGTTCTTTTTTTTTTTTTTTTTAAGATTTTATTTATTTATTTGAGAGAGAGTACATGAGAGGGGGGAAGGTCAGAGGGAGAAGCAGACTCCCCACTGAGCAGGGAGCCCGATGTGGGACTCGATCCCGGGACTCCAGGATCATGACCTGAGCTGAAGGCAGTCGCTTAACCAACTGAGCCACCCAGGCGCCCCATGGTAACAGTTCTTAACAGCTTGCGTGGAAGAGTGGATTCACGGGAAGAGCGGCCGTGAGAGTGCCTTCCTTCTGAGGTCTTCACCAGACCAACTGCCGGGGTCCCGCCATAGGTTACAGTTTCTTAGGTGACTCGTGAGTTCGTGTGCCATTTGTTATCAGGGGTCAGAAACACTGCAATGGTACTTGAATATTTTGGGAAGACACGGCTCTCTGTATTGTTCCCGGCCCCGATGACTTACATCCTTCTGGTGTTTGGGGCCTCCCCGTCTAGGACCTGGGAGCTGTCTGTTCTCCAAGCCCTGGGTCCCAGCCCAACCATACCCCTCTGCCCTGAGCCACCAACCAAATGAATAGCCTTGGCAGAAATTGCCCCTCTGGAAGCAGAAACCGAAAGTCCTGCGCATCTGACAGTGGGGTGTCAGGAACCTGGGATGGGGCTTTGCCACCCTGGATGCAGCATGCAGACAGGCAGCTCAGAGAGGCAGCCCACCACGGCAAAGGTTCTGTGGACACACGACCCCGCAGTGCCAGAAAACACCCGGCTTTGACCACAGTCTGAGCCTGCCACCAGGAACTCACAGTCTGGTAGAGGAGCTGAGATGCAGACACAACAAATCTAGAGCAAGGTAGAGAGGTGGTCTGTGCCTGCAGAGAGCTCGGAGAAGCTGCGGGGCTGCTCCTATGGCCGTCTCTGGAGCCGGGCCCCTGTGGACCCTGACCATGGGTTCTGGGCACTAACAGCTGACAGCTGCACCTCTCTGATGCCAGAAACAGGCAGAAACAGGCACTCCAGCCCAGAGCTGTAAGCTGGGCGCCGGGGGCCTGCTCCTTCCTATGGGAGCCTGGGGTTGGGGGCCATACCCCTCCTCCCGCCCCAGCAGCCAGCCGTTCCGCCTGTCCCCAGCCACCCACCAACTGGGGGCTCATCCCAATGCCTCCTGTTCTTTCCCCAGGACTCCCCCGAGGCAGGCGGGGAGCGGGAGGAGGACCAGGAGCGGGAGGAGGAGCAGGCCTTCCTGGTCAGCCTCTACAAGTTCATGAAGGAGCGACACACGCCCATCGAGAGGGTGCCCCATCTCGGCTTCAAGCAGAGTGCGTCCCTGGGGCAGGCAGGGAGGGGGAGCCCGGCAGGGGATACCATCCAGGCAGGGTGTCGGGCAGGCACCTCCACTCTGGGCAGCCCTGGGCGATGTCAGCCCACAGGGGTTGCACACAGAAATGACGCGCCCCCCCCCCCAGGTGCAGGGCTGCAGTGGGTGGGGCCGGATTTCTATCCTCACCGGCCACCGGGCCCCCAGTGCTCAGGGCCTGGCCCAGCCATCCATTGCGGTGGCCCTGTCTGGGCATGTGCTGGTTCCGTGCCTGCTTGACAGGTCCACGGGAATGGGCTGCTGGCTGCCCCTTCCTCCCACAGAGACTGACAGGGGCCCTGCCCTCTCTCTTCTCCAGTTAACCTGTGGAAAATCTACAAAGCAGTGGAGAAGCTGGGGGCCTATGAGATGGTAAGGAGGGTACCTCTGAGTCCTCAGCATGTAGCATCCCACAGCCCATCCCCACTGTGTCCTGTGGGGACCCGGGGAGGAAGAGCCTTGTCTGGGGGCAGAGCTGTCCTCACAGCCAGACAGAAGGAAGAGACAGGGTCCCAAATCCTGCCGCTTTCGCAGCTCTCCTGCATGCTGTGGGGGAGAAGGCCTGCCTTGCCCGCTGGTACTTTGCTGCTCAAAGCAAGTTTTCCTGTCTTCCCTGTGCCCCCCCGTGCCCCCCGTGCCAGGAAAGCTGCTGCGCGGGCAGTCAGGCGGCGGCCCCTGGGAGGGAGACCTGGCTAGCGGCCAGGGCAGCCCCCCTTCCCCCCCACCTCACACCCCCCGCCCCCCCCACCCCCCCACCCCCGCTGCTGGAGAAGCAGTTGCAAAACTGCAGTCCTTGCCCCCATCCCTGCCAAGTGGGGGCCTGGAGCTGCCAGGACGCCCCCCCGCCAGGGGAGCACACACCGGTTGTGCCCTCACGTGGTGCCCTTGCAGGTGACGGGCCGCCGCCTCTGGAAGAACGTGTACGACGAGCTAGGGGGCAGCCCGGGCAGCACGAGCGCAGCCACGTGCACACGCCGCCACTACGAGAGGTACGGCTGGGCGGAGACCCCGGCTCCGGGACACCTTGGCCTTCGGCCCCGAGTGGGGCCGGGAGCGGGGTGTGGTGGGCACACACCAGGAGCTGCCTGAGCGGCGTGCGCTGTGCTCATCCCAGGCCAGAGCTCTGCACGGCGGCCGGCAGGGGTGTCCCCGGGGCGGGGAGGCCAGGTGGGCCCAGACAGCGGGGAGGTGTGGTGCGTGCCTGCCAGGCCGGCCTCCCGGTGGACACGCTGGCCTCCTCCTCAGGCTGGTGCTCCCATATGTGCGGCATCTGAAGGGGGAGGACGACAAGCCGCTGCCCCCCTCCAAGCCCAGGAAGCAGTACAAGATGGCCAAGGAGCCCCGGGGGGATGACGGGGCCCCTGAGAAGCCGAAGAAGGCCAAGGAGGAGAAGCGGTTGGACCAGGTAAGCCCTAAGCCCGCCTGGGGCCACCAGCGGACGCTGGGCCTCCCTCTCCCCGCCCGTGCCATGGCTGCAGAGCTCCCTGCCCAGGGATACCCAGAACCTGCTCTGAGGGCAGATCCGGGGTGGGGGCAGGGGGGCCTCCGGGGCAATGGTTGCACAAGTTCAAATGAGGGGCCACGTCGGGTCTGAAATCGTCTGCACCTTGGTCACCAGGCCCCATGTCCTGATGCCAGGCTGTGCCTGTTCAGAGGCCAGGATGCCTTTGGGGACCTTCTCACAGAGGCTCCTGGGTATGCCTCTGCACCACTGCTGCCACGGGGGTGGTGTCCTGTGCCGCCCGCCCCCCCCCCCCCC